TTTTTACCCTGAAATCTTCCTTAACCAAGCTCACTTCAAGCTCACTTTTCACTACAAGTTTATCTTCACTGTTTCCTTTTGGCCAAAGCTGTATTTAGGACATTTTCTGTGACTTCCTCAGTGCGACTGCATTCTCCACACTAAATCAAAGTCAAAATTTTTCTCATGTTAAGGAAAACAATTTATCTGAATAATCTGGATTATGAATAATTAGATGACAATTTCAGAATGCATCCTTCACAGAAGGGCAGCTTCTAGAGAAATCTCGAGTACAAGGTTTTCACTCCTCAGTCCTGGGATTTTCACAGGGAAACAAATACTTCATTCAACCTCTGACCACTCAGAAATCTTCCCGCACGACTTTATTCTTGTGAAACTCACCCTTCTTCACAGTAGACTGTTGAAAAAGATGGACAATTACTCTCAACCACATTCCGCTAGGCAATTCCTCTATCTTCTTGAAACAAAAAAGAGCATTCAACTCCATCTGGACTATGCTCATTATCTCAACCTCTAGACGGTATTGTCAGAAGCAGGATCAGATGTTGTTACACAAAGATTTCCCAAATTGTTTAAGGCAATCAATTTGCACTTGAACGCTTTCTTTTATTTGACTGCTAGCCTCCCACCCAAGGGAAGCGTAAATTCACTGTCCAAGGTTAATCTTTTTCAGCGTTTTGTGAGGAAAAACTAGAAAGTTAAAACAACACTGCAAACAGCACATGTTGACACCTTTACCAGGTCTCAAACTAATATATAAGTGAACTGCAATTTCCAAGTAAACAGTCTGAAAGTTGTATACAGAAGATAAACTCTGGATTTTTTTCATGTGTTTGCACTCTTAAAAATGAGAATCAGATTTATTCACCACCCATAAAAGTCACCTAAACTCTTCCTTTCTTTCCTATCTCCGCTAAAAAGGGTCCATACACAACTAAGGAGAAGAAACATCTACCTAAATCTCACTAAGCCTTAAGTTCCCATCATGTTGTTTTCTCTCCTATATGAAGCTCTGTAGCGAGTACCAACTTGATTCAAAATTGAGCCATTCCTAAATGTTTACAGAAAGGTACTGATTAACTCAAAAACTCTTTCTTCTTTCTAAGATATTTTAACTCACAGATGTGACATAGCTATAAAACACAAAATGAAGCCAAATGTTTTGGCAACATCATCATCCTCCTGTAGGACCATGCTCAGACTAGAGTGGCACAAAACAATTCTAAAAACCTTTTGACAAGATCTTATCTATTCTGGTGCAATATAACAGGAAAAGCAAGAAGAAAAAAATGTTTCCTCTCCACAAGACCAAAGTATTCGTTTTCATCCAGTTCTTCCAGACTATATACAACAAGCCTTTCCTAAAAAGGAAGTTTGAAAGCATTAATTATTTGCTAATTATTACTACTTCTGAAAAAGGAAAAATTTTAATACTGTCATTTACTAATTCTTCCATCAAAGATTTTGTTTGCATTAGCTTTTATCAACATATCCTGTCAACACTGCAGACTGAATTACTATCTATGATGTTCCAAGTAAAACAAAAAAAAAAATTAAAAGCAATCATGTTAACGGCAGCCTGTTTGTAAACCAGCAGACAGTAAGAGTGGTTATAACCACTGCAATCACTTTTCCAATAACTTCCTTGAAAACCAAACAGTACGTGATGGGTTGTCAGGCAGTGAACTGCCAAACTCCCTCCTTGTTACCTGAGAGGTGAACAGTACATCCAGTGCTCTATATACAACTCAGTAAAATATTGAAGTGAATGCAATTTACTGTGCAACTGAGAGGTATGTACATCCACTGAACAAAACCAGATCATTATACTCAAGGTAAAAATTTACTTCTGAGGAAGAAAGTCACACGTCTGCTCTCCTCTCCAGAAACGGCACCTTTTAGTGCTGATTTGAGATTATGCCCGTGGTCTCAGACATAATCAACAGACCACAGTAGCAGAAACACTACTAATTGATGTCCCAATGTTAACCAATTACCAACCAATATGAAGAATATAATCCTCATTTTCCCCATTCATCAGGAAGCAATCATGTCGAAACAAAGATTTGTTTAATTAAACTATTCCTCCTGGCTTGTTCCTGTAATTAGCTATAAAAATGTGACTCCTGGAATAACAGATAATATAAAAGAATATACCACCCAAACTTAGTTGGATCATCAGTCGAATCCCACATTTAATAACCCTCACACACAACTCCCATATCACCATCTCTAGCAATAACAAAGACATTTTTCCAACAATCATTTTAAAATCAAATCTCCTAGAAAGAAGTTACCATTGAGAATACTTCTAGGCAATTTAGTAATCTGAATATTCATGTGCCAATTGCAGAACTTTGGGACGAAAACATAGACACTGAGCTTATAATCCTTAACAAGGAACATAAGTGGTCTTAAGAACTAAATGCTAACAAACTTCACTTTGGTAACACTAGTTGAAGTTGCAAGTAAAGACAATGTTATGAAACAGAAATGTGATTATTATAAAAAAAACAAACCCCACAAACAAAAAAAACAGTAGCTCCCTGAAAATGAAGTAATGCATTTAAAAGTCAGTACTCTTCAAACCTACTGATAAAATATTGGGTTAAGAGTCTATTATTCACCTCTTGGAAAAGAGACCTGATCAGCAGATTATTATCTGGACTTTCTGAAAGACATTCAACTTCACAAAACATCATTGACAGAAAAAGAAAATAATGCTGAACAACAAAAGTTAGCTAAACAAAATACAAAATGGCAATGATGCTTCAACATCATGAAAGACAGCCAGTATGTCATCTGCAAAACAGGTAAGCAATGATTACTGCAAAATATTTAGAACCACAAAGTAAAGTTAGTGGATAGAAAGTTACAGAGAAACTTTACAAACACCATGAAGGAAGCATACCCATGCATTACTGATGTTCAGTATGCAGCTGTTCTGGGGAGGAAAAAAAGCCAACATTCAGATGGTTTAGTCTGCTTCAGCTGCAGAAGAGAGAATTTTCAGTCCAGTTTTTGTCCCAAGCAAAGAAGAGCCTGGCTGGCTCTGCTGGCTCTTCTCACATGTTGTCTGTGCCTGTATGGGTGAACATTTTCCAGCCAGGTAGCTCTATATGGCAAAATCCTTCTGGAGTTACTGGGTGAGAATATCCTAAAAATGCGGTCAAATCTGATTCTCAGAACTTCTGTTTACCCCCAGTCTGATCGTACAATACTAAAACTCTTTTGCTTTAAACAATTAAGAAAAGACTGATCAGTACTCAACTAGCATCGCAGAGAAAAAAGAAAACATTTTACTGACTAAAAAAACGAAACTAAAACGTTTCTGTAAATTAACAGATAATCTAGTGCTATGGTGAGAGATGGGGCTGAATTCTTCACTGACTTTGAAAGAGACTCCACACAGTAGCAGGAATCTGAAGTCAGAGAGCAATGCTACAAAAGGCCACAATCCTGAAGTGCAAAAAAATCTGACTATAATATGGCAACTCTGGAAACTGCCACAGCAGCTGACTCGAGAGGGAAGCTACAGCCAAAGAATTTTTTGGGCCTCCTAGCAACATTCTTTGCTGTCATCAGACACGGCAGTTGATGTTGCTAAAAGTTGGTGCCTGTGCCTGAACAAGTAGGGGCAAGAAGAAAGGGTGTGAGAATCCTTTTCCTGATTAGTCATCATCTGCCTGATGCACAATCACCAGGATGGAAAGAAGCAGCATGAGTACCACAGAAAACACAGTTAATTTGACAACAGCAATAATATCCATGACTGCCTTTTAACAGGTAGTTCTTTTAACAGTTCTGTTAGTATCTTCCTGTATCAGCATGAAATGCCATACGTATATATACAAAAAGACATCGTTATGCAATTCATAAATCGCATGCGATTTTTACGCAGAACTTTTTATTATATTCGATAGAATTATCAGGACTTGAGACAGAATTATCTTCTTTATTGAAAAGATCAATATAGCATACTCTTCAAACTTTGTTTTCTCACCTATTTTATGATACTAGCTTTTGCTTTTGGATGAAACTAAGAGTTTTAAATTTAAGTAGAGATCTACTTTTAAATAAAAGAGTAACTTCAGTTAAGATCAGAATATTAATTAGCACAGTTTCTGCCACTCGTTTTTATTAATAAGGTAATTACAACAACCACACTTGTTACCATGAAATAGTTTTTCTAAATCTCTCCATGGCATTCAGAAAACTTGGAATTGTGCTGATACAATGTCGGTATAGATACTTAACAACACTTAATACATTAATATTATCAGCATAATGCAATTAAGATTTAAAACCCCTTCACGTTTGCTGTATATTGGTATGGTGCTTATTAAAGCTTTTCTATTACAACTGTTGACATATTTAGTTATAACAATATAGATGTAGAGAAAAAAGTCAAGTTATCAAAAAATATCATTCCTTTAACACTTCTTGGAAAAAACATTTCCTAAAACACATAATCACATAAAAAAAAATTAGTTTGCTGTTTTCTTGTAAGACTTTAATCTTTATTTAGATTTATCTATGTCCAAAAAATTTAAGTCCTAACTAGATGAGTAAATGTAACCTTAAGTGATTACAATCAGGTTAAGAATATTGACATCTACTGTAACTCTCTTTAACCATCATTCTGGAGCAGGCCCTTCTGCTGCTTTATAAAAGCAGGAACGTATTCTTCTCAACTGATCGTGTCTGCCAAGTAAGAACTCAGCACACACATCAGTAGCTGTATGTAAGACAGTCTTCATTTCCATAGAGATTCAGGTCTACATTCAATGAGTTTAAGTTGTATTTAAAAAAAAAAAAAATCTAGCAGTGAAGATTTTCCTCTTCTATTTTTGGTAATGAAGTAGCATGAAAGATTCTCCTAAGAAGCCTAAAAAATGATCTTGCTATATAAGCTGCTAACTCTATTTTTTAGAGGCTCAGTAGTTAAAATTAATGGAAGCCTTTGTTTATTTGTCATTTATCTGCTTTTAAATACTTACAGTGAAAAATACGGAAATCAATGTATGGATGAGAACCTCTTCTCTCTGTTTCAAATCCTGCCCGACTTCTTACTCGTACATCTCCTAGAAACAGGGTCAAGAGTGAAATAAAAGTGTGGAAGAGTGGCAGAGATAAAATGCAAATGAACATAGCCCGGAGGGGTAGAGATTCAGGTACTTAACGGAGGAGGGTTATTCAAACGATAGGCCTATTTCAATGCGTTTTGGTTTAAAGGTGAAATTCAAAACAAAGTTTGAAGACTTGTTAAACATGCAATCGCATGCTTTCTTGTCAAAGTCTCTCCTGCCTAAGCATACGTTGCCAGAAGCATGTGATAAGCATTCAGATGAAATTAGAGACAGCTTGCTACACCAGTATGGTAAAAATGCACCGTAATATGACAGGAAACAAGAACATTACAAGTTGATTTGCTCCTCAGTAACACACATAAAACGATAACATTTTGTGTACTACAAAAAAGATTCAGCTTCTAGAAATGGTAGCTTTTAGCAAATAAGCTAGTTACGATATGGTTTCATATTACATAATAGAATATTTTCCCACTAGCATTTACTTACTTGCGCTCAGCTGTTTGAATATTACACAAGAGCCTATTAAAATACCAAAACTTAGTATTAAAATTTTATCAAACTATTTTGCACTGCAATTAGCTTCAACCTGAATCTCTTAGCATGCTAGTTGATTTCTTCTTAGGCATTTTACCAACTGAAAGCTGATCAGTCTTCTTTCATTAGGTATCTGTATGCATTAATGTAAGGAGCTTTCACTTATAATTCTTTGGCAATTACAAATTTGGCCAAACTTTTGAGAATCAAATGCAGTAGTATGTCTCTTTTCAAATCCTAACAAAAAAGTGAAATTTAAGATGTGAAAGTGTTCCAGTTTTATGAAACCAGAAAATCCTTCAAGTGTAGTATTCTCCTCAAACACAGCTATTTTCACATGAACCAAAACTAACTCAAGAACTAAGACTGATTTTATAAGAACAAAACAAAAATATAGCTATTTAATTTCCAGCAACTGATAATATCTTAACATCTTGAGACTGTTTTTCCTTTTCTTCTCCAATCTGCTAATTTGTAATGCTGAAGCAGGCAACTTAAGTCAGAAAATAGCTAAAGATACTGACTACAAGTTCAGTGAAATACTTCTAATACTTAACAAGTATCTTTTCTAGAGATACACATCTATAAACACTGACATATCTATAGTGACACACTTCAAATGAATGTTATCTTGCAAGGCACGCTGGAAAGACCACAAAAAGTTAAGTAGACCCAAGGCTCCCCAAATGAGTCTAAAGTTTACGTATCAGCAAAAACACACCAAATACATGGGGGTTTCAGTTATTACTCCTTTTGGTTTTTTGAAACTGAAAACCTTAATGGAGCTGCAAGGGCAAGTAGCCCAATTACTATTTGTAAATATTATTTTTCAGATCACTGACAAGGTATTACTTATAAAGGTTTCAAGCATTTATCTGAGCAGAGTGCAAGAGGCTTGTCTTGTTCCCGGCAATACAGAGGCAGCAGATTGTAGAACTCTTCTGTTAGGCAGAAGCAACTGGTGAATTTTATTTACAAAATAAGTGAATAAAAAAGTAAAAGGGAGGAAATTCTGGAAAAGAGGAGGCGAATGCATTAGTAGCAGTATATGAAAACGTCAGTTTACACGGAGGAAAATACAACTTTCATTACCTTTCACTCATATTTATCTGGGAAATCAGTCATAGCTACAGCTAGTGTGAATGAGTTCACCAGCTGAATTAAGAGAAAAATAAGAGGTTTTTTAGTTGACATTTTTTAGATGACTTTAATTTTTGACATTAAAGTTGACATAACTTTTGTGAACTATATTTAATTTTCTAGGCAGTCTTAACTTTCAAAGTTTACCAACCATAATGTGAATTAGCAAATAGTTTCAGTCACTAACAAATAGGTTTTGGTGAACAATTTACTTGTTCGAAGTGTTAAGAACAGAAAAGTTCACAGAAAAAACACCTAAAGACTGACATGAAATTCTGCAAATAATAAAACAAGCAGGTTGATCTGATAAATCAGGTCCAGAAAATTTCTCTCTGCTTTGTTCTTTTTTTTATTTACTAGTACCTAGATCTAACATAGCTAGAATAACAATATCCCCGTTACCCTTGAAATGTCTGCTATGTTGTGGATTTTGAGTAGGAAAACAAGAAAAACTGTCTACAAGTGAAATGCCGAAGTGCAAATAACTACATTGCTTTTAACAGAAATTACAACCACATATATTTAGAGGAATAGTTAGCCAAAAGAATAAATTATATACTAAAAACGCAAATGGCAAACTTAAAGGCAACTGTAGTAAGGCAAGATAAAGATAAAATGAGGGTATTTACTTGCATACATATGAAACGAGATACTCTCAGCAAGGAAAGCAAAATATTTTCATTAAATACTTGTTAAATGTCTCTCCTTGACTGCGGTAGAAACAGGGTTAAGAATCAAGATCTCAACAGTGGATGAATTTTTTTAGAATACACTTGGATTTATTCTGGGAAAAGGTATCACTTCTGCAGGACTGGAATTTATCACAGTATAAGCAGAAATTCCTATTGGGCCAAAACTAAGGCATAAGAGCTGCATCCATTATCATTGTGCAGAACTTCTGCATTTTTTCAAGATTTCAGACAAAAAAACGTGCTTGGAAAAATTGGTACGAGTGGAATTTGAAGATATCAAACACCCATCTGAAGTTTCTATGTGTACAGAAGCATAAAACGGAATAGCATCAAACTAGCTGCACATCAGCACATTATAAAATAATGTGCTATTAGCACAGTCAGACTACTCTCTACCACATAGGTATAGTTAGTCCCAGAACATCCAAAAATATTGGACCATTGTTACGCATTCACTGTTCAGTTAATGGGACCTGCAAAGATCACTAGATCCCAAATGCACTTGCTTCACTGTGCTTGTACACAACATAACATATTTACATCAATTTGCTTGGGAAATCCCACACAAGCGTTTTGTAACCCTATGTCTCGGAAATGATAAAGAATTGTATTTTAAGGAACAAACATGTTTATCATCATAGGTAACTTAAAACAAAAAGGCAGAAGACATTTCAGATTTCAGATTACTCTTATCAGACAAGGGGACACTGTTCCGTAATTCCTTCAAACAGTAACAGAAGTCCAACCTCAGAGTCAATCATTATTATGGTAGCTCAAAGATAATTAAAATTCAACACCTAAACCAAAACAACTTATGAATAGCTTTCATTTATTTAGGCCTTTAAAAAAAAATAAAGTGGTTACAAAATCTTTTGAAACCATCAAATTGCACCATTTGCTTATAGGTAAGTTTCCTCGAGGGGCAAAAGTGGTAGCAAGCCAACAGATTTTATCTGAAATGTCTTTTCTTTAGCCACTTTAGCCACTATGAAAAGACTCATCTGTTTCCTTAGGGGAACACATTCAAATCCAGTATCTTAAATGACAGTGGACTTCCAGAACAACTTTTTTCCTCTTTGAGAGTTTCTGTGAATCCAAGAAATGAGAAAGATTTAGAAAACATGAAAGCCTTCTCTTCAAAATCTGATTTTCCGCACAAACATGACAAAGTATTTGTTGGCTAAGCATTTCACTAGAATTTTTTCTAGAATAGTTCTACATGATCAGAATTGCTGCGCTTTTAAGACAAAGGCCATGCAGGCAGAAACTCAACTGAAGACTGAGCCAGTAGTGGAAGAAGGAATGTAAGAGGCAGGTTTGCAGCTACAACTGAAAACTGAAAAGGAATCAGGGCTGTAACAAAACTTACCTTGAGACAGATCGTTTAGTTCCTACCCCTCTCTGAGTCCTGCTCGCACTGCAAGGACAGCTCTGATACTTACGAGGCAGCTGAAATGCCATAGCTGACATCCCTGCGTGTCAGGGTTACACAGCACATACTTTGTGCTACCCTAATACTCCGGTGTGACACAGTAACAATGCAGCAGCTGCTTGGGGAGCTGAGGCCTTCTGGAGCAGGGGCAGAAATCTCAGAGATCACAGAGGACAGCTGGAAGCAGCCATTACAACAGCCACCTCAAGGTAAACCACCCAAGTCAAAGCCATGAAGTTGTGAAGAGCTGGATTTCCAGAAAGAATTACTAGCTTCATAGATTAAAGTTCCTATTAAATTTGTTGGAGAAACAGATGACAGGTCAGCCGAATATGCCAGAATTAAAGCAAAAGGAACACAATACAACAACCGCTACCAGAGAAGAGCATGCACCTGCATTACACAGTATCTTGCTTCCACTGTTTCCTGTTTGAAGTGATCAAGACCTCTAAAGGAGAGTAAAACACTCCCCAGTTTTGAGTTGAGAGGTGCATGCT